CAAGCACCACTCCACATCATCCACAATCCACCATTCTACATCCTACAACCACCACAACCACCTCACAATCCATCACTAACACCAAGTAAGTTTTATTTTCTTTAATCTTTTAAAAATTTTCACATATTCTATTTCTCATCCTTGCCTGGTTTATTTCACACTGGGGACAGTGTGATTTAAGTATGGTGGAGGATTTCATCCCTTTCTAACCACCTTTTCTTGCATGAGAGCTTGCATTCTGCATTTTCTTTAAAATTTTTCAATTTTTTCGGTTTTTCTTAAAACTTTTCAAAAGTCTTTTGAATTTCAAAAAGTGTTTTCAAAAGTCATATACATTTTTAGGGAATAATGAAAAAATCGATGATGATAACCAACATGTTTGCTTCTACACCAATCACTCATGAAAGCTCTTTCAAGCTTTAGTACCATACTAGGCGGTAGCTAGAGTACTTACACTACGAAATCCCACCAGAGGACTTCTATTCATTAAGAGCTTTTTTGACAGGATATACTAGCTCATTATACTTGGACTTATTCTTGACATCTAATTTTCTCATCAATGGTTTAAAAAAGGCATCATGGTATACATCTAGGACATCTTTACCTTATTGTTACCACTCTTTGTTGTCCTAAATGGTCAGTTCACCTTTAGCTGGTACCACACCCTTAACCCAAACCCTTATGTTCTAACCTCCTGCATTCTTTTAAGTCTAATTTAACAGATATGTGCAAAAACGCCGGAGAGGGAGAAACAACATAGTTTTCAGTCACTCAAGAGAAACACTGAAAGAGACCATAAGAGAGTGTGCCAGAAATCGTATGATGCCTCAGAAAAGCTCATTTTTAAAGGTAAATTTCGTGCTCTTTAAGACTCCAAGTCAAAAGACAGTTTCCCCTTTCTAAAAAAAACAAAAAAAGAGAAAAAGAAAGAAAAGAAAGGAAACCAAAAGTCTAAAAGAGTCTTAGAAGCCAAAATCACTTGAGCCAAGGCAATAGGTATTCACCTAAGAAGTTATGGATTCACAGCCTGGACAAAAATCCAAGTCTGGAGGAACTATAAGGAGAACTTATAGAAAGGAGATCAGAAATCTTGAAGCAAGGAGAATGTGACTGAAACTGTGGAGGCATTTACAGTTCCATCCTCTATTGCAGTTTTGCATAATGTCCTGTCTCTCCAGAAAAAGGTAACCCTAAACACATCAAGTCTCACCATTAAAAAGTCTTTTGATACCTAACCTTGAATGCCTTGTTTAATATCCTTTTGATGAGAATCACTGAAGCCTTTTATGAATGTTAAGAGCTACTTGAATGGAAGTTAGTTCTAAGTGTGTGAATTTTCGCATGACGGATTAACGGACTAGTTATGTTTGTATTTTGGTGAGAATTTTCTAGACTTGATCTGATTGATGCATTGTCCATAATTAAGGTCTAGAAGTATGGTTGCTGATATTTTTGAGTTCCCTCTCACTTCTGTTGAATGATACTTTTCCAGATTTGGTCTTGTTTTGTTTGAGGACAAACAAAGTCTTAAGTCTAGGGGAGTTGATAACACCCGATTTTGACCAATTTTCACCATTGATTTTAAATCCTTTTTCAAAAGTTTTAATCAGTTTTAGGAACTTTTATTATGATTTCCATGTATTTGTAGTTTCAACGCTCTTTTCAGGAAACTTAGAAAAAATGATGGCAAAATGGAAGAAATCCACTTTTTCAGCTCATAGTTAGACCGTCGGAAGTTTGGTAACAAATGGATGTCTTCCCACCGTCTTATCCAGCTCAAATTTGGAGACAATCAAGAGGAGACAACCAGGTTTCCAAAGCACTTTACATCACAAAGATCCAACGGTGAAATCAAAAGATACATGGAGAACAAGTTGACCCAGTTCACCAGTGGACCTTAGGAAGACTCTCACTCCCGGTGGACCTTAGGACGAGCCACAAGGCCCAACATCAAAGCCCATTTCGCCATTTCTCTTCATAAAAGCCCTAAATGAGACCTGGAAGATCTTAGGACCTATAAATTTATTGTTTAGCAGCCTTAAACGGGTGTGTGCTCCTGTAATGAGATTTTGAGCCACCAAACTCTGTTTTTCTAGGGTTAGGCGATGGAGATGGGGATTCTTCCCCAGATCCATTGTTCTTTCTCCTTTTTATCTTATTAACTTTTCTGTTTCATTCTTTTGCATTCTTCTATGTCTTTTATCATTCATTGCATCATGTAGATTAGTCCCAAAGAGTCAAGTTGTTTGAAGATATCGACAAGCATATATATCGATTAAGATTTCTACTGTTCTAGACCATATTCTGGATCTCATCTCTTCTAAGTTGTTCATAAAGCATGAGAGTATATTCATGACCTATTCTCTGAGCCTAGGATTGATCAGAGCCACGAGAATGCTGTATCAGATCATCCGTACCTAGTTTCAGAAGAACATAGTCGCTATAGGAGTCGAAAGCTACCTATAGAGAAGATGTGAGCAGACGAATTCAATGTCTAATGCATGATCTAAATTTTAGCATGAGAGCGAGAGTTAATTGCTAGATCTAAGAACTTAGTTGATTAAGCTGACGAGAGTTGGTTAATCATATATATGTCTATTCTAGTTCCATGCAGATTCCCAGAAACAGATGAAGATAAATCGCCCAAAAGCTAATTAGAAATACCACCATACATCAATTAGAGTAAATCGGAGAAGTCTAAATTGCCACTTATGAGTTTAAGAGTCTTTAGTTTGAGTCGATATGCTTTAGATGTTCTTTTAACAATTCATCCTGCATTTTATTTCTTGTGAATATTAGATTAGGTTTAGTTTAGGATCTTAACCAAAAACCCCAAAACTTTTATTGGTTTATGACTTTGCTTACTTTCAGTTTGTTATTTCTTGCATATTAGACATCCTCCCTGTGGATCAACACCCTAAGTCTTACAACGTACATTTGTGCACTTGCAGACACTAGGGTTTTATAAATTTAAAACTTTTGGAGGACCAACGGGCTTGTTAAAAAACAACCTTAGGCCTGCAAGCCCATCATTCTTGTTCCTTTCAGTTTTCTTGGTAGACTTTCCATGACCAACATAAAGACCCTCTGCTCCAGAATTCTGTTTGTTTAATAAACCCATCTCCCTTAGCTCCACCTCCTTGGCATGAGCTGGCTGAACTACTTCAGCTAATGTCAGTGTCTCCTTCCCTTTGTTGCCATACTTCAATGTGTGAACCAGTGAGGCATACTGCTCGGATAACCCTGACAAAACTTGAACCGCCTGATCTTCATCACTTACTTTGATGCTCAGGCTTTGCAGCTCATCTACCAATCTTAAGAACACATCCATTTTTCGTCTATGGACTTATTCTTGTCCATCTTGTAGCTTGCACAACGTTGCTTGAGATATACTCGGTTAACGAGTGTTTTGCTTTGATAATCCGCCTCTAAAGCTTTCCAAACCCCAGCAGCAGTAGTTTCCTTCATAACCTTTCGCAGAACCATAGATGTGAGGCTTGAACAGATCAAATTTCTGACCCTCACATCCCTTTCTTTGATCTGATCCGCAGTCAAAGCAACTCCTATCTTTGAATCTACTTCCTCGGTTTCTTTTCCTTTTGTATCTGGTTTCAGCTCACCCGTAAGTTCTTTAACTTGCTTGCCAAAACCTTGAAGCTCTAGCTGCATCAGCATTCGAAACTTCTACATCCCAAAATCACCCTTACCATCAAACTTCTCCATCTCAAATTTCTGAACAGCTTCAATTCTTGACCAGAAATTTTCACCTGAAGTGAATCCGAACTTCGGTCGATCGGATACAAAACCTCAGCAACTCTCGTCAAACCAGAAACAATCAAGAATTCTAAATCAACGATCACAGACTGCTTCTGATTACACACCAGTAATCTTCCAGCGTCTTTAACCTACGCTCTGATACCACTGTTAAGAATTTGTTCAAATCCGTATCAAATTCTTAGTCCCAGTTAGCGATCTTGATACTAGATTGATTGAATCTTCGAATAGTTCTTAAAGCCAATATCCGATCTAAGAACACATGAGCAATTTGTTTACCCAGTTCCCTCTCGGTACATCTGGGAGTGGAACTAAACCACCATGCTTGCACTATATACCAAATCTCCAGATACAAGTGACTAACCAGCTGTTTAATCTATACAGCTATCTTCTGAGTGAGTTTGCGGAGAAGACTCGACGAGAGTATGATCAGAACGAGAATCTGGAGTGTTCAGGACAAAGCGTCACCGGAGACACCAAACCGAGCTGCTGTAATCGAATCACCGTCTATCACGGAGAATCTTTTGAACCTTCTCTCTCTTGCTTTGTACTCAAACTTTCTCTCTCTAGTCTGTTATTTTCCACGCGATGAAGAAGAGACATTGATCTGTGCCATCTTAAAGGCTCAACTCCTTATTGGATTTCGTCTACAAATGCAGCTCAACTTATCATGTAAAAGACTCAGCCCAACTAATCCAACTAATGGACTTGACCCTTAACACTTATGTGTGAAGCCCAAAACGACAACACCTTCACAATTCCACAATATGAACAAAAAATTCTAGCTATTAGTAAATATTTCAGGAAAACCAAAGGAAAAACAACGTGTTTTGCTGGTTTCATCGTTTTTAACCAAAAAATTTGATTATCTTTTATAGCGATTTTGGAAAGATATTCAAAACATGAACTATGGTATCTTTGGAAAACTAAAAATGATGAAGACATTGTTTTCTAAACTTGATATAGATCATTAAAATTACAGAAACTAAAGCAACAATATGGGAGTGTGACACACATTACTGATGAAACATGGTAACACAAAATAATGATCTTCTTCGGTAATTTCAGGTGATTAAGGGTGTTAGATGGCTCTCATACGAGTCTGATGTTTTTTCAGTAGTAGGTGCGTTAAATGATGGGAGCACGAAATTTAGAAAGAAGTTTCTCTCCTTTATGCGATGTATTGTAAACACTCATATAGACCATATATTATGTGTTCACTAATCAGAAAACAGCGATAACTTCAACAACACAATATCTTAAAAGAGAGACCATGTCTTTACACCAAATGAGAAGACGAAGAGGACAAAACAGAACACATTAACCATTATCTCAAATATAAAGAAAAATGTTAAACAGCTAAAATGTCAAACACGAACATTAAGAAATCCTCAAAAAACCAAAAAAAATCCATAAACATTATCAACTCTTTGGGGATGCCTTCGGCGGTCCAGCTGGTGGAGCACTCTGCGAAGCCGGCGCACCACCACCACCACCACCACCAGCAGACCCATCAGAGGAGTAACCACCACCAGCAGCAGGAGGTTGTGTGTATCCTCCATAAGACCCATATCCCTGTGGTGCTTGACCATACCCATAACTTGGAGGCGGTCCGTACCCTGACGCAGCTGGTTGCGCATACCCAGACTGACTACCATAGCTCCCAGGAGCACCAGGAGACTGCTGGTTCTGAGCATAAGCTGGTGGCTTTCCAGCTGGTGGTGGTGCTCCATAACCAGAACTGTAAGCCGTTGGTGGCTGGCTGCTGTAACCAGCTTGAGAAGTCGGAGCAGCACCATACCCTGCCTGACCAGTAGTACCTTGAGTAGGCTGTTGACCAGTTGTACCATACCCAGCTTGTCCAGACTGAGTTGAGGATGGTGGAGCGGTTTGAGATGCATCTTCCTCTTGGCTTGGATTAGCAGTGCTGCCGTAACCACCCTGTTGCTGATCATACCCAGCTTGACCATATCCTGATTGCTGTGAGGCATTATAAGCACCATACCCATCTTGCGGGTATCCCTGACCACCTTGGCCATAACCAGAAGCATTCTGGTAGTAATTATAGCCTGTGGTATCTGTCGGTGGGGCTGAGCTAGCACCACTGTTTGGTTGCTGTGACTGTTGCTGACCGTAATAATCATACTCACCTTGTCCGCTCTGCTGGGATGGTGGCACAGAGGATTGATCCCAGGTAGAGGAGTAGCCAGCTGAAGTTTGTTGAGGATAACCTCCATAGGGTGATTGACCGTACTGAGGTGGACCAGGATATGCTCCTGGTTGCATGTAACCATAACCAGGTTGTTGTGCTGGTGGAGCACCAGGAGGTGCCCAGCTTGAAGGCGGGCGGGCTTGGTAACCTTGTTGTGGATAACCTCCACCCATTGATGAGTTTCTCATACGGTTCTGCGTAAAACAAACCAATAAAATAAGCATAGGAAACTTCGGGGAAACAATAAGACAACACAGAATAAAAACACATTAACACAGAGGCAGAGACATATAAAGCAGATAAAAAAAGACCAGATCTAGAGGCATACAATTACACGGTTTATGTCATTTACCAATATCTGTCCATATAGGATCAACCAAGATCATATCATATTCTAGAAGGGTAATGGTGATGCCTACATACCGTACTGATTGGTGAAATTATTGGGTTACTCCTGCAGAAGCCCATCCCTTTCCCTATCCGAGGTAAAGTAGGTGCAAGAAAAACCACAAATACTATAGAAGCTTTTGCACATAAAAGCAACATATATATATACATGATACCTATTTTCTCGAAGGATAACTTTACGCAGTAAAATAACCTAATATCAACTAAAGAGTGCTGTATTGAACAATAATATTATAATAATACTCATGGAAACATAATAGCAGACTGGAACTGGGGTATGATCTGTGGAGTAGAATTATGGATAAAGGGTTCAGCTAGAAACGAATCCATGAAGAAAGGAAGCAGGCAAAAAGGCAGAATATAAAAAATTACTAGGTCAGCAAAATATTTGAAACAGAAATTGGCTAATAGTTTTTTGAATGTTAGTCGCCCACCTTTGGTGATACCCTGATAATTGAACGGAAGTGATTTGACAAACAGAAAATTGGAGCAAAGTGTTACAGAAAGTATATCACATTTATTGCACAGAACTAAAACCCCAGAAATCATCAGATATGAAAACTGTTTTAAAAATACTATCACACCAGGTTGGCAAGAAACTATTCAGCAACCTCACAAAGGCTACCCAAACCAGTGTATGATCAGCCAACAAGGCTGTGATCAGCATCGATGAAACACAGATTTCTGCATATGCTCCACGAACAAAGGCAACATAAATTTTTATGATGAAAATACCATTTGAAAAGTGAATATGCTAAGAATCTCTTGATAACAATAGGAGTCGTAAAGAAACATGTTAACCATATTGAAAATTTTGGATTATCAAAAGAGAAGAAACGTAAATGAAAGGAAAGGCCGTTACAAACTGCTATGAGAAGATAGTAACAGAAGCATGAAACTCGGTGAAGAGAGGTACTGGCAAACAATGCACAGAGGAACAAGAATCAACATATAATCTCTTACAATTTCAATAACAAGATGGAGTTAAGGAATGTCAAGATAGAATATCTTTCTGTAAGAAGTCAAGAAAATCACAAAATATGGAGCCTTCCCTGCAAATAAGCAGAAGAGAAGAACTATGCGCTCCAATTTAGATGCAATTACCGTGGAGCTTATATCAACAGAAGTGAAAGCATAAGAAGAGTATAGCTCACCATGAGCAGAAAGAGTATTTAGCTGTTGGTATATTTACTAAGTGAAACTAGTGTAACCATATATCACCTATATTTCTCTTCCAATAAATGTCTAACATAAAGATTGTGGGATAGGCTAGGTAAACCTAAAGTTAATGACAACTAAATGATGTAATCACAACACAATATCAAATTCAGGGAGAAAAATAGACACTGCAGAAGCCTGCCATAATCCATAACAAACACAACAATCAAACATACCTCGCCGCTGATGATTTCATTAACTAAATGTTTAGCATGTTCAATCTGATCTGTAGTCCCATCAATCTGCAAAGTTCTTTCTGGCGTTGGATCTCCAGGGGGCAAATGCAATGGAATAACCTGCAAACAATCACCAAAGGTTGAAGAACATTTCACAGGCTGAATTCAAAATAGACGCCTGCTACACGTTGTAGTGTCACAAACCTGAATTCGAGCTCCAGTCTTCGCTTGCATTGATTTGATTGTTTCACCTCCTTTGCCAATCACCAGACCAACCTAGAGCAGTTTGTGTGTTACATACAAAACACAGGTTACATAAAACAGCTCAATCTCCAGAGCATTGACTACCTTATTATTAGGAATTTTCATAACAAATTGATCAGCTCCTGGTTGTCCACCCATCCTACGGGAGCCTCCACCTGAACCAGCTGTACCACCTGTCTCAGCCTGAACCAAATTCATCAGACGCAGCATTAGTAATTTAGTTAAATCACTTCTATACAGAACTTTGTCACTATCATTAGCAATAGTAGGACTACCTCTTGAAGGACTTCATTTATCAACTGCTCAGCCTTTGAGATCTGGTCTGGTGTGCCTGTTAGGTCAACAGTCCTCGTCGGAGCATTAGGGTCTGCATCCATATCCCTCGTAACCTGAATCTTGGCTCCAGATTGAAGTTGAAGATACTTAATCGTTTCCCCACCTTTACCAATAATAACCCCAACTCTCATATTCGGAATATCAATCTTCTTAGTGGTTCCCGAAAAGCTACCATACGAAACAGGTATCGAAGATGGAGCCGTGTTTGTCATCTGCTTACCCTCTAAATCAAAATCAATCACAAATCAATAAGTTCTCGTTTTTTTTTTTGGAACCCTAGTTTTCAATAAATAAACAAAGTGCGGAAGCTATTTTACATACCGGAAGGATAAGAGCTAAACCCTTTGTCGCCGTAATCATAAGAAGCGCCATTCTCGACGCGAGGACGTTTTGCGTCAGCACTGTTGAGGAGACGAGCAGCAATTTCCTGTGCCTTTTGCTTAGCCATCTGGATTTCATCCATCGGAGGAGGGACGCTGTTGTAGGAAGACGGAGGAGGAACAGCGGTTGCGCCGGTGGGATCAGCGAAGCAGATGGGATCGGGGCCGGAAGAGAAACCTGTGGTCTGCGGGTTGACGGAGGAGGAGCGATTTGCTCCTCGTATTTCCGTTTGTTGGAGTAGAGTCGAGGAGTACTGAATCGTCCGCCATGTTCGAGCTTTTTTCGATAGAAACCCTAAGAAGAGCGGAGATAAGAGAAGAAAAGGGTGAGAGGTATACCGACTACACACGCGAATATATTTATATATGCGGACAAACCTTCGTATTTATTCAGATATTTTTTCCTTTTTAGTTTTTACAAAAAAAAAAAAAATATATAAACAAACATAAACTATTTTTTAAAAAACAAATCAAATGTTTAGAAGGGTTTGAAAATCCAAAATCAGCAGTACTAAATTTACAGATAAAATATCAAAAAAATAGACACGAGTACTAAATTTACAGATATAATAATATTTTTTTTTATGTGTTGTATAAGTGAGATAGAAAATAAAATAAAAATTTCTTGAGTGTCCTAAATTTTTCTAGATATAACTAGATTTTGCGTCCACGCTACGCATGGATATTTTGTTGATAAAAATTATATACAATCAATTATATCTATTATGATATAAATTTTATATATTAGTGTTTAGACAATATATTAAAAATATTATGATATTAATATAATAATTTTAATATAAATTGTGATGTTTTAACGGTTTTGTTTTGAATCTATATATGTAAAAATGTTTTATTTTATCAAACACTTATAAGTTAATATACTCAAACTACCTAAAAATTTTACAAATTAATCAAATGCTACTTTTTTAAACATAGTATTAACATGATAATATAAATATTATACATTCACTTCTTTAAATCAAGAAGAAAATATTTTTTTTTCATCATTTTCACTTTTATTTTAATTATATATGTGTTATTTAAAAAATAAAATTAAAATTTAATCTTTTTATGCTCTTGTTTAACCAATACAAAATTTTAGTTTGATTTATTAATTTAAAACATAACTTAAAAATTAAATATTTACTTTGAGATTAATAACAGCTTTAGTTTTGAAACCAAAATAATAGTTGAATATGATATGAATAAAATCACACAAAATATGTGAATTAAATATATTTTTGTCAATTGATTGTGTTAAATTTTAAATAATATTTCAATGATTATACATCATCTCTTCTAATAAGAATGAATTTTTTTTTCATCATGTTCATTTTTATTCTTGTTATATATTATTTTGTTAATCTTATTTCTATATTTTAATGATTTTTGTTTGATTATATTCAGTTTCATTATATTCATTCTCACTTTTTCTAATTATAATTAAGTAGGCAAAACCGGTACAATTTAGTACATACAAATATAAAATAATTAATAACAAATTGAAAAACTAAAAACTAAAAATTTCTATTAATCTATTGCAATTCCAAATCGAATATACAAAATGTAATTTTTTCGATTATTTTCGCATAATATATTACATGAGGTTATGTGAAAATATGTTTTGCATATGTAACAAAAATTTAGATGAATATAAATCATAGTTATCAGTTATTTAAAATTTTACGCTAAAAACTTTAAAATCAAATAACTTAATCTTGTATAAGTAGGATATATTTTTATTATAGATAACAAATTAAATTTATAACTTAAACAGTGATATTGAAGATTTTAATATCATGTTATTTTTTGTTAATAGAAATTTCTGTAGTTTTTAATTTATTTTCTTAACAATAATATTAGAATTTGGAAATTTTTTTTGTAATTTCCAACTTTGATATATACGAATAAAATTGAATGTTTAAATGCTGATGTGGATGCCTTGAAAATAATATAGCTTTAATTGTTATTAATAATAAAAATTTGTTAACAATATTATTTTAAATTTTTTTCTATAAATATATTTTTTGTTAACGATATAATTTAGAATTTTAGAATTTTTTTAATTTTAAATATTGATGTGGATCAATAAAATTGAACTTTTAAATCTTAAGTGGACACTTTTAGAGATATATAACTTTAACTTTTATTAGTAATAGATTTAGAAATCAAAACTGGAAAATCTCACACGAGACCCGTTGCGGCAAGTGATTTTGGTCTCTCCTCCTTGTTTTGAAACTTACCAAATGTATTCAGATATTGCTTGGTCAGCTAATTGTTATCTTTGTGGTTCAAGTTAGGTTGTTAAAACCCCGTTAGATGCCATGTTATTCAAAAAATCTTATTCGGATACCTCAGTTTCCTTCGCCTTAACGACGGAACCTCTTACTCTATTTTCAGTGCTTCATTTTTTAAAAGTGTCGAGTATCAATCACTTGATATGTTTATCAGATTGCTTGGAATTTATCATTCTTCTCAAATTTGATGGTCAAGCTTTAGAGATTTTATGGTCTATTTTTCAATATTAAAGCAGCTTGTACTGGCTTTGTTTATATCTCCTTTCATCATATTCTTTGTAATTTAGCTAATATTTAAACAAATAGTTTAGTCAAATTTGTTCTTTTACGTTGTAATAACTCATTCTTTAGTGAAAACTAACTCTATATTTTTGTTTTTTTAATTGAAATGGTTGCACACAAAAGAAAAAAAAAACTTAAAATTTATTATAGTATGTGACAAAAATTCGATTGCTAATGTAAGAGCCCCTAAATATATGTGCATATATCTAATTTAAATTCAAGATTTAACTGTTATTAAGAATTTTTGGGATTCCCCTAAATATATGTGCATATATGTAAGAGTCCCTATATATATGTGAATATCAAAAATAATATAGTTTTAACTGTTATTAAGAATTTTAATTAACAATTTTTTATATTGTTTTGTATTAAAAATATAATTTATAATTTAGAAATTTTTTTAAAATTTTAGTTATTGATGTAGACTAATAAAATTGACCTTTTAAATCTTATGTGGATGTCATTATATGCATATAGCTTCAACTTTTATTTTTCTATAAATATAATTTTTTTGTTAACAATAGAATTTTTTAAAAAAATTAATTTTAAATATAATTGATGTGGACCAATAGAATTGAATTTTAAAATCCTATGTGGATATTCTTAGAGGCATATATATTTAACTTTTCTTAGTAATAAAATTTAGAAACCTCCTTATTTTGAGGCTTACCGAATGTATTTGGATGTTGCTTGGTCAGCTAATTGTTACCTTTGTGGTTAAAGTTAGTTTGTTAAAACCCCATCAGATGCCATGTTATTTCAAAAATCTTCCTTGGATACCTCAATCTCTTTCATCTTAATGATTGAACTTCTTTCTCTATTTTATGTGCTTCGTTTTTCAAAAGTGTCGAGTATCAATCACTTGACATGTTTCTCGGATTGCTTGAAATTTATCATTCTTCTCAAATTTGGTGGCCAAGCTTTGGAGATTTTACGGTCTATTTTTCAATATTAAAGCGTCTTGCAGTGGTTTTGTTTATATCTCCTTTTGTTATATTTTTTTGTAATTTAGCTAACAGCTAAACATATAGTTTAGTCAAGTTGGTTCTTTTATGCTGTAATGACTCAATTTTTAGTGAAACTTAACTCTATTTTTTTATTTTTGATATGGTTGCACACATAAAAAAAATTTTTCAAAATTGTTATATGTGACAAAAAAATTGGATGCTAATGTAAGAGTCTCTAAATATGTGTATACATTTAATTAAAAATTAAAAATTTCCTATTTTATTATTATTTATTTTAGTTTTTATTATTAATATAAATTACATATAATTTCTTTATCTTTAATAATTTAAAAAAAACAATAATAGAATTTGTAAACTTTTTAATTTTCAATGTTGAAGTGGACCAATAAAAAAATTATACAGAATTTTTTATTTAGCAATAATATTAGAGTTTGTAAACTTTTTTAATTTCTTTATTCAATAATAAGATTAGAATTTGTAAACTTTCCTTATTTTTGAATGTTGATGTGGACCAATAGAATTGAAATTTTAAATCCTATGTGGACGCCTTGAGAAACCTATAGCTTCAACTTTTATTAGTATAAGATGAGAATGCAGGTTATTCTTTTGATACATATACCACTTTCACCAACTTGATGATTATTATCACTGTTTTCTGTCTTTTAGTTTTATTTATAATAGAGAAATTAATTTTTTATTTTTGTATAAGGATCTAGAATCATGCTTGTACAGTTTTGATTTCATAATCCATTTTAAATATTACTAGATTCTACCTTGTGCATCGGCACAAAAACTATTGTTAATTTATCAAATTATGTAATATAATTTGTGTTTTTGTTTTTATTTAGATATAATTTTCTAATAAGTGATAAATATTTTTTTCTGTTTTTATTGATTTATTTTCTAGTATATATATGCTCGTGATTAGCTTTGCCTCTGTTGTCCGCCGGAGAGCCGATTCTTCTCTCCCCCCTTCCCCTAAAGATGGCGTACAATGTTTATTGTGTACAGCTTCCTCTTGGCTCTACACTTGCCAAATCTCTAGGCTTGTGCTAAGAATTCTTCTTCAAGCCAAAACTCCTGCTGCAGCTGTGTTTTTATTTGGTCTTCTTGACCCTACGAAGTCTTCCTCATCAATGACGACCAAGATTTCAGGCTTTTCTCCCTTCTGGGATGTATGAAGAATATTTCTTCGGAGCTCTCTCTGTTTCTAGCCGCGTGCTAAGTCCATATATTTTTAGCTTATGTCTTGAAGAATCAAGCCGGCGGAACACTCAACAAGTGAACCAAGCTACACCCTTTTACGTTCTGGATCTCTGGAAACTGAATCTGGATAAAAAGTTGTCTCCTTGAACACATCTCTGCAACGACAAACACTGTCAGGAATCCTGATGCCCTTGGAATCTCCGACACAATTGAAGGAATTATGATGATGAAGAATGGTTGGTGGATACAGATCTTTATGAAGAAGGCGAATTGGAAGATTTTCTGAGAGATGATGATTTACCATTCATCGTCATTGCCGCCACCTCCACATCTATCTTTTAAAGTGATTACATTGCATACTGTATTAACCTTTGGCCGTGTAGCTGCCGTTGCGATTCTCGTCGCGAATCTAAACAAAGAGGCAATTGTGAGATTTCTGGCTCTGAAGAACTCATAAACACTGCCATCTCCAACCCTCTTCTCGCTGCCGGAAGCTTCTTGACCGACTTCAAACCCTTCTAGCCTTTCTAAATTTTTCC